TGTTATTAATCAATCACAAAGGCTGTGATTTAATTAAATAAATAAATGTGCTGTGGTTTCAAAGTGGCAAAAAATCCCCTGCTAAAAAGCTTGATGATTTATTGTATGAAAATTAAGAAATTAATGCGTACATTTTAGTATTATAATTTTACTGTTTTACTGTGAAATATATCTATTTTACTAAATACTCATTTTTTTACAGCTTCAATTTCTTGTTTTGTTTTTTGTATATTTCTCGTTTTGTTTATTATTTTTAATAATAATCACAGTAAAATAATAATATATTATTGAATGGTTTAAAAACAATGGGGAAAATAATTTTGTGTGTGTGTGTTTACTGAAAGAGGTTTGAGTATGAACAACCAAATTTTTATATATTTTTTCCATATAGTTCAGCCTTAAAAGAATGGTTCACACTAAAAAAAAATCTACTTTTTAAAAGTATTTTTTATTTTCTATGCAGATTTACTACCTACAAAATGTAGGTTGCCTACCCCAATCATTCTAGAATGATTACTTGAAATCCTCAGGACTGCTTACTTTTCTATTTGTAGTCATGACTATTTCCCACATCACGTTCTCAGTCACTGAGCAATCACACTGTGCCCTTGAGCAATGCACTTAGTCCAAGTTGTTCCAGTATTGCTCTGGTGTGAAAGGTACATGGTTCCTGTGCATGGCTTTGGGCTGTAAATAAAGTTTAAAAAAAAGTGCAGATGTGACGATGTGCGGGACTGCATTGTTCTAGTTAGTGTTATCAAAGCACAATGGTCTAACCGTGCAGATTTAATCTCATCGGAGCGTGTTGTCTTTACGGTTAAAGAAACAACACCTCAGATGGGTTTTTCCTTCCTCCTTTTCATTTTAGTTAAATGTTTTTGTTAACAATGACGTAAAATACCGATCAAGATGTTTTTTTTTGTTCAGTTGATAACAAAATAAGATATTTTACTATGGCTCATCTTGCTGCGACACGCAGATTTGGAGGACAGCCAGTCCTTCCTGTGACTGAAATGATCTACTGTATGTGTAGTTTTCCTGGGAAATTTCTTGGCAATACACCCAGAGAGAAAGTATGTGCATGTACAGGTAGACACCACTCAAGTGACTTTATTTTTAAAAGAAGACAGTTATGTCAGTGGTATTTTAACATGTTACATTAAGAAATATGAATATATTTTTATCTTATTGATATGTTTATTTTTGAAACACAAGCTGAACAGATTCCTGAGTGAAATGCCCATAAATCCTTTCTTACATAATAATTTGTGTAATATTGTGTATATATTTACATGTGAATGAAAATTGGCTTACTGTAATGTATGTATAAATGCAAGTTTATGTATACATATGCACTACTGTTTAAAAACTTGGGGTTTGTGTTTTTTATGCTTTTGAAAGAAGTCTCTTAGGCTCACCAAGGGTAATTTATTTGATCAAAAATCTAGGAATATTATTACAATTTAAAATAACAGTTTTCTTTTGTTAATATATTTTAAAATGTTATTTATTTCTGTAATGGTAAAGCTGAATTTTCAACAGCCATTGCTCCAGTCTTCAGTTTCACATGATCCTTAAGAAATCTAATGTGCTGATTTGATGCTTGAGAAACATTTTTTTTTTCCTTTATCAATATTGAAAACGGTTGTGGAAACAAAAGAACAGCATTTATTTGAAATAGAACTCTTATAACACAAATGTCTTTACTGTCACTTTTAATCAATTGAATGCATCCTTGCTGAATAAAAGTATTAA